AGAGAGAGAATATGAAAAAGTTGGAGTGCTCAAATTGTATGTAAAAACGTACATGAATAATGATCCAAGGTTTCGTATTTATAGAGGTAGGTACAATGGCCCACGTGATCACTAACATATTGGGCCTAATCACACCATAACTGCAGGGGAAAAATTCATTTATCTTATTTTACTATATACTATTTCAAAAATAAGAAAACAAGTTTCAAATTTCTAAAATATATATATAACCCACTCCACCTCCACCATCCCTATCGCTCCGGTGACTATTCCGATTCTGGCGACCGTTCGCGACGCTCCGACTCCGACGACTATTCCGGTTATCGTTCCGACGACTATTTCGGCGACAACTCCGCCATATTTGTGTGACCTATACAAAACATTGACCTGTTAATATTGATTCGTGACCTGTTTATATTGATTTGTGACCTATAAAAAATGACTGTGACTTGTGAACTCAAACTTGTGACAACGATCTGTAACCTTAACGATGAATTAATTAGTCACAGTTCTATACAATATGGTCATAACTATCAAATTAATTGATCATATTGATCCGTGACCCGTCTACATTGATTTGTGACCTATACAAAATAACTGTAACTTGTGAACTCAAACCTGTGACAAGTGAATTGTGACCTTAGAAACTCATTTATTCATTGCAAATCGATCACAATTTATCAAATTATTGATCACAACTTATTTTATGGTCATAAATCAAGAATTTTATAGGTGTTTCTCGATCACGAATAGAAAATTTTATAATTCACAAAATAGTCATCGATCACAAAATCAAAATTTTTATTGGTCACAACTTGATTGCACCTTAATAAATTGTGAATCACAATAACGATTTTTAGGTCACGTATTATACATCAATGATGAATCATTGGTGACATTCTCAAATTAATTGGTCACACATTGTTTTTGTCACAAACCACATTTTATAGGTCACAACTTATTAAAATAATAGATCGCATATTATTTTTTGATCACAAGTCACAAATTTTACAAGTCACAATTAACTATTTTATTGGTCACAAAAACTGTACAGCACCACCTCATCACCACCACCGTCTCACATACCCTAACCCTACGCCGCCGTAACCACAATTGGCAACTCACCACAATAACTATCACTAACGTCATCAACACAGTCACAACTCACCATAAGCGTTACCGTGGCTACCAATGCCCACCTCCACCTCCACCTCCACCAACCGCAACCCCATATCGCCAGCACGTTCGACACCCACCAACACATTTCATAGATCTACCACCGTACATCGCAAAGACCCACCACCACCACACACCACACCACCCCACAATACACCACCACCACCATACCCAACCACCATCAACACCAAGATCCACCACCAAAAAACTCACAGCTTCTGCTAAGTCTAACATAACCTCTGCCCTTGACACAGTTACCGTCACCCAAACACCACCACCACAACCTCACTAGATCCAATCACAACCAAACATAACCAAAACCACCGCCATTAGAACAAGCAGCAAAGGGCGAGTTCTTCGCATCCTCCTCTGGGAACATTCATTGAAAAATAAAAAATCAAAACTCAAAACAGAAATTATAAGAAATTACATACAAAATATATTATAGAAAAAGAAAAATTAGGGTATGAACCAGAGAGGCTGAGGGAAAACTTGGTTATGATGGTGCCCGTAATAGCGAAGCCAACAAGGAAAGGCCAGTTGCAATTGAATTCTCTCCTAAAGAACGCTGGCCATGGATCGAGTTTTCTCATTTTGGCGTTTGTTTTCTTGTCTGATATCTACTCCAATGAATATATGAATGAAATGATGATGAAATGTGCCTGTGTGAATTGAGTAATTTGCACTAATTGCAAACTATACATCTAACTCGTAAAATTAGCAATCAATGGAAGCCTACATAATAGAATTATTCTAACAGTGCATTTGTAGCAGGACTTGACATCTTTATTTTTAGGAATTCTAATTAGGATAAGTGTTGGATCACAATCATAATAACAAATCATTACATATAAATGCACAGCATTAATTGGGTTTCTCCATATTGTTGAAATTCAAGAAAATATTAATTAGTGATGAATTTGAAGCGTGGTCGGGAAACACGGTCGTCGAGTAAATTGGAATCAGATGGCATTGTTATACCAAGCGAGTCTCGAGTTTCTTTGATGCAAAAGAAGAGAGCTCCTAATTTTCCTGATCGAAGTATTGGCTCAAAAATAGTCTTGAACGACTTATTGGTGATTGAAAAGTCGAACGTACTACTGGATAAACAAACAGAACGATCACCAAATTTTAATAATCTTGGTTCATGTGAGCTGTACAAGAAGAGAATTAATGATGGAAGAAACATATACATGTACAAGTAATTTTCTCCACAGTTTTATCCCTCAAACATTATTCTGGCTTTCTGTAACCTTATATAAATTTCTTGGATGCACATTCAACTTTGTCCATGCATAAGTTAAAAGTTACTCACATAATTTTCAAATTTACTTTTAAGCCGTGTTTGATAGGCCACATTTCTGGGGAAGTAGGAAAATATTTTCCACTTTCCACTTTTTTGGCTGTTTGATAGGCGAAATTTTCCACGGAAAATATTTTCCTACTTTTCCTCACACGTGTGCATTTTCCCGGTTTTTGATGAATATGTTTTCCCACCTTTTTGGTGGGAAAATATTTTCCCGACTAGCTGGAATTTTTTTTTTTTTT